CCGTCCAGAAGACCTATACAATTATTTTCTTTTTGATTTTTTTACCTGGATTACTGAGATGCATCAGGATACATAATGTTTGCTTAAAACTTGGGTTTGTTAGCAAAATATCTCATGAACAACTGAACAAAGTGTCTGGATGTACAACGGCTCTTCAAATTAACAATTTTTATTTTTTGGCATCCAAGTTACTGTCAGAATGTAAACCAGCAATCTCCCATTAATTATATATGTAATATTGTCTATTTAGAATAAAATGTGTTTGTTTTTCATTAGTGCAACAAATGAGCAAACAGCAGGTGAAAAACATAGATTTCCTTTTTATTAAAGAAGCACATGTCGCTACAGTTCTCTGTAAATAAAAGATAAAAAGCTGCTGATGTCAGCCAGTTGTTGCTGTAACAGTCGGAGGGGAACAGGAACAAGGCTCACATTGTCTCCAAATAGAAAAAAACCAGAGTGAACTTTAAAAGTAACGTTGTGAGTCTGTCTGATTTCTACACATGCATGTTGTTGTTCGTCATGCTTCACATAAAAACTGAAGAGTTTAGAAAAAAACTTTCGTTCTTTGCAGCACCGTTTCCAGAAAAAAACATTAAATTAACAGATGATGTTTCAAGGGTTCAGATCATATTCAAACATAAAAAAACAAAGATAAACAAAAAGGTTGATTTATGTAAACAAGAGAAATATCCTGTGAAAAAACGTTACAAATGAAAAACAATTTAATTGAACAAACACTTTTCTGAGGCACTGGAAATGATTTTAATGGTTAGAAAACTCCTCTGAGCTTGTCTGATTTCAGTCAAAGACTTTGTCTTTATTTTATAAATCTGTGTGTCATTTCAAATTTAATGAGAAGCTTTTAACGCAGAATCATATAGAGTTCAATGCAAAAATTGTGTTGCTCATTTTTTTCCGGCACATTTTCAGTTGCTGAACAAACAGTARAATTTGGTAACAAGAAAAGTCAAACTAACCGTTAGGATGGCACCAAACAGAGCTACCAGGACCAACTGTGGACAGGAAAACAATGTGGGGGAAATAACACAGTCAGCACCTTAAAAACATGTTTTTTTTAAAAAAGAAATGCATTTCATTCAAAGAAAGAATACAATCAAATAAAGCAAAAACTACGACGGCGTATTAGGGACACTTTGCCGATGGAAAAAAAAAAGGGAGGAGAAAATCTCTGAGAAAAAACTCAGAATTTCTGAGATTAATTTCAGAAATTTTCGAAAAAAAAAATAGGCAATTCTCTTATTTTGAAAAGTCACAAATGTGTGAGAAAAAAACTCAGAAATTAACATAATTAAAGGCAGAAATTTGTGACATTTAAACTAGATATTTTCTGACATGGTAAAGTCAAAAATTTACAAGAAAAAACTCGTACATTTATGAGAAAAAAACTGAAGTTTTCAGGAATGGCTAAAGGGTGATTCCACCTGTTTTCACTACCTTGAGCTTCTTTAATCTGCTTTAGTTTAGAAACTAAAACACAGAGACTTCAAACCTGGACTAGATTATTCTACACTGATTACAGAATGTTTAAAACCAAGTGTGTGATTTGTGAAACAGATATTTGATGATGTGAAGCTTAAGGAAATATGGTGATTTCAGCACTTTTTATGCATTTTATGAACAAACATGGTGGCCTGATGGAGAGATGAGAGAATTAGAGTGACTGAAGCAATCATCCAAAATGATCATGGAGACTATAGAGAAAAATAAGTTCCTGAAAACTTCAGTTTTTTTTCTTATAAATTTACGAGCTTTTTTCTTGTAAATTTCTGACTTCACCATGTCAGAAAATATCTAGTTTAAATGTAGCAAATTTCTGCCTTTAATTACGGAAATTTATGAGTTTTTTTCCTCACAAATTTGCGACTTTTCAAAATAAGAGAATTACCTGTTTTTTTCTCGAAAATTTCTGAAATTAATCTCAGAAATTCCGAGTTTTTTCTAGCAAAATTACAACTTTTCAACATAAGAGAATTGCCTATTTTTTCTCGAAATTTTCTGAAATTAATCTCAGAAATTCATTTTTTTTCTAGTAAAATTGCGACTTTTCAAAATAAGAGAAATGCCTATTTTTTCTCGATATTTTCTGAAATTAATCTCAGAAATTC